GAAGGAAATGTTCTTCTCTTTTGGAAGAACATTTTGGTTCTAGATCAAACAAGAACACTGATATCTTAAATCTTGCACCAAACACCAGGAAATATATGGATGCATTATATAAAACCATACTTGTAATTTCTTTGCTAATAATTTTTTCCCCTTCAATCCTTGAGCAAGAAATTTGGGCATGTGATGTATCACTGCCATTACCAGGAGAAGAAAAGTTCAAAACCCTTTTGGAAAACAACTAAAGTAAATAGAGCCAAGGAGAAAATGTTGACTCTACCACCCTTAGACAAGTTGCCATGAATTGCATCAAGAATGCCTAAAGTCTATAGCTTAGAACTCCTACAATCTCTGCCCTTGTGATAATTAGCCTTAGAAAACCAGTGGGCAATTTTTAGGCAATTGAGCTACAGTACAGGTCAACCATATAATTGACCAGTTCTGCTTATACAGCTTGATTACCACCTTTATTAGGTTTTATGTGACTGGGGATCCTACAGAAATGAGCAGGCTGAGATTTTTGTTTCATGAAGGGAATTAGAATTCATTTTCCCTGGGTGTCCATGTGATGTTAGGTTTAAGAGAAACCTTAGACACTTTTTTGCCCCTGCTGAGAAAATTATCTCGCAGTTTCTTGGAACTTCAAGGACTGACATGATTATTCACCACTGCTTGGAAATACAATTTTCTTTTCTTGCTCTAGTCACCTGAGGAAGAGTCACAACTGGATGGGCCTTGAAATGGGTGAATATATCAGAGCCCTGTGAAATGGAATATTTAAAAGGCCCTGGGGATCCAGTAGGGCAGCCCAGAGCCAAAACCTCTGGGCTTGGTTGTTACTTTTCCCTGGGGATGAACTGGAACGAAGGAAAAGGAGCTGTTTTGTTCAACCATCGGGGAAGGACATAAAGCACTGAGTCAAACCACCTCCAGAAGAGTTAAGCCGTCTATCTTCCATGGGTCACTAAATCAAGCCTTTCTGAATTTTGCAAGCTTTAGACTGTATAAACTCCAGTCAAGCAGCATAATTCTTGCCATGTCAAGGGAATCAAAACCGGGAGATTTAGGTTAATATAGATTGATCTGTCTCCACTACTCTATTCACAATAGTGTGAAATTGGACAATCTTGGTAAATCTTTCCTTCAGTTCCTTTAGGCCCCTAAACATACTAACTAAAATGCAATATAGAAGCGCGTTCTTATGAGCAAATATGCATAGAATTGCAGAGTTAGTCATGGATTCTGGCCTCTTCTTTTGCTTTAACAATAGCTCACATCAGAAAAGAATATTTTTCCTGTCAGGAATGTAAGAAACTTCCTGTACTAAGTCACATTTTTATATCCATATGACCAAGTTTGGACTATCACATATGAGCTGCAAAAATACAGACTATCATTAAGATGTTAGCAAAGAGGTTAGCAAAACTTCTACTTCTTTGCTGCCATATAGCAGTCTTCTAGATTTCTGCAGCCCAGATATAGTAACAATATGTTGGATCATAGTGGCCAAACAAATGCTCCCAATCAATCTCTAAGCCGAGCATAAAACCTTTGGACCTCACCTTCTTGTATTGCACAGCACCTTGCCTGTCATGCTGGAACTCACATATAGCAATAATGAAGGACAGCTACTTATAGTCTGAAATTCCTCCAATATGACTTTTAAAGCTATCCAATCTGGAAACAAGCTCTACAGCTTTTCTGGTGGGTGGATTCCACAGCGCAACCAAGTTCTGGGTGCAGAAGGGCATCCTTTAGTTTACCTTGAACCGCCCACCAAAGAGCTTCCTTGGAAAAGCCTTGTACCGCTATAGTCACTTTTGTGGTTGTTGCTATTATCACTCAAGTGGTGAGATGGCACGCTTCGCCAAGAGTGCTACTTGTTAAAGCGATTTGGAGTTTTTCCCAAGTAATCTGAGTATGGCAAGAAAATAAAACTCTAGGGAGACATGGTCCAAATGAGTTGTGGCCAACCATCTAAGTCTTGGAGATGCACTCTGGTGTTTAATGGATAATTGAGGACTTTTGGGGAACGGGAACGCTGCAATGTCATCACTAGGGAGATTGGCACTAGATTTTTCAGCTCTCACTTGGAGGGCTTTTAAAAAGAAGTAAGGAAATGGCATTCTGTGCAAAATTGTGCTGCTGCTGTTATCTGTGATTGCTGTCAGTCTTTGGTAGGGTAATCTCAAGTGCGGGGGTGGGCTTTGAAGGCTGGGGGAAAAAGGGCCCAGAGGGCTGTAGATTGCCCACCCTTGATCTAAAGGAAAACTATTGGGAAAGTATACAGGGTAGACAGGTTATTGGACTTTCTCCTTTGGTCTATCACTGTAGCTTTGGAAGGAAGGAAAATTACATGGCTTTGTTCCTTTCTCTTACAAAGGCTCATAACACAGATATCCAGCTCCCTCACATATATAGCACTCTGGTTATTTTATTCCAGAACAGGATTGCACAAAACACTTGGCAGATTTAGGCAATACGTAATCACACCCTTCGCACATTTTCAGAAGCTTCAAACTGCTTCCTTTTAATCATGTTCACCCTCCCACCCAAGTCTCTGGAGGCTGTTGCTAGAAATGATGACAAATAAATGATCTAGGCAGACACTAACTATCCTGACAAAGTTCACCCTTGGCCACTTGGGAATAAGTGATTGAATTATATTTCTGTGTCAGGTGCCAGGACCGGATATTTTAAGGATGCTAAGCATCCAATTACTGAAAATATAATTAATTCTTAGTCAATTAATCAGATAGATGGATAGATAGATAATTGATAGATGGTTGGGTACATAGATGATAGATGACAGAAGATAGATGATAGATGGATGGATGGATGGATAGATAGATAGAAGATAGATAGATAGATAGATAGATAGATAGATAGATAGATAGATAGATAGATAATTGATAGATGGATGGATGGGTACATAGATGATAGATGACAGAAGATAGATAATAGATGGGTGGATGGATAGATAGATAGATAGATAGATAGATAGATAGATAGATAGATAGATAATTGATAGACGGATGGGTACATAGATGATAGATGACAGAAGATAGATGATAGATGGGATGGATAGATAGATAGATGATAGATAGATAGATAGATAGATAGATAGATAGATAGATAGATAGATAGATAGACAGACAGTTAGTCTTATGCACTCTAGGAAGCATTTTCCAGATGGTGAGGTAAAGGGAACTTTGCTTTTTAAAAATTATAATTCTTATGTCTGCGTGAAATGGCTTTTCTCTAACTCATGTGTCAAATTGATCTAGACCTCCATAGCAATGTAATTTGAGGTGGTGCCTTCATTTGGAAAATCAAGCAATTCCACTTTGATGCTTCAAAGTTAAAGGGTTGAGGTGATCCAACTTGATGAGACCAGGTGCTATCAATGGAAGAAGCCTCTCTGCATGCATAGCATATCCTTCCCAATCATTTTGACTTCCTGTTTGGGTAGCCAATCCAATGTGCTGCTTTGAAGGGGAACACAACTTCCCCTTTGACTTTGTTTTGAAGAGGGTTTTGATAGTGCCTCAACATCAATGCAGGTATATATGCTCCTAAATAAATATTGCTACTAAAATCAGTAGGTCTGATTAATTTATTAAGAAAATAATGTTTTAATTCTTGGAATAATAGTAGACCAGCGGTAACCAACTGGTGATCTGTGGACCACTGGTGGTCCGTGAGAAAATTTTGGTGGTCCGCAGAAAAATTATTTGCATTTTTTATATTGCATAAATCAGGGGTCCTCAAACTATGGCCCTGGGCTGGATACATGCAATGAATGTTTGTGTTGCTGCAGAGAGTCTCCCCCTTCGGGGTCTTTTTGTGTGGGTCAGAGGGGGGCAGAAATTCTGACTTGGGGTCTGCTTCAGCCTCCTGGTGTGGGGCTTTGGGCGAAGGCTGGAGGGAAGCACTGCTGGTGGCGAAGAGCCGGAGGACCTTGTTCCAGTGGGACTGCCTCATGGCCTGGAATCGGCTGACCATCTCAGCCCGCTGAGTCTCCAGGTGCCAGTACCTGGCCTTGCACTCCTGCAAGTCTTCCCTCTGCTTGGAAAGTGTATGCTCCTAGTCCTCAGTAAGGTGCTTCTGCTGAGCCTCCTTCTCAGCCAGATCCAATTTGAACTGAGCCAGATGTTTTGTCAACTCTTTCTCATAGTGGTTATTTAGCTCCAGCAACTGCTTCCTGTTGGGGCCCTAAGGAGCCCGGGTGGGGAGGTGAGGAGTGTCTGGCAGGGGAGGGGGCAAGTAGAGACTGATGAGGCACCCCTCAACATGAGTGACATTGAGTTAGCCATGCTCACCCAGTCAAATGACCACCTAGCTATGCCCACCCAGCTGGTCATTAGGCAGATCATATTAGTGGTCTGCAGGATTTAAAATTATGAATTTAGTGGTCCCTGAGGTCCGAAAGGTTGGTGACCCCTGTAGTAGACTATTTAGGGACAGGCTAGATTATTAGTGCTAGTTCTTAGAGGGTTAATGGGTTACAATATGTAGCACTCTTAAGATATGTGTAGTTGACTTTGAGATGGTGGGTTATAAGTCATAGAACAATTTTAATATAAGCATTTTAAATGAAAGGAATGGCTACATTTTAACAAGTTTCCATTGAGATATTGAGGCTACAGGTATAAAGAGAGGTTGAAGCATCCTTAAATAACAACGAGAACAATTTAAGATTATTGAAAGTGATGTACATAAAAAAGAAATTGGATTTAAACATTTTGTAAAGGACCCTCTTAAGATGATAAAATTTACTACTTTGCATTCCTTAAAACGTGCAATCCTCTGGCAATTCTTGTTGTATAATAATGCATTTTACTTCCTTTATTTCATGCCGCTGATTATGCATTCTTTCCCTTCCTTTCATCAGCAGTGGGTCCTAGAGAAGCACCTATTTATTCTGTCTCTGGGTCCTGCTCCCAAACCCTGACCTGATGATCCCACTGATTATGAGCCTGCCCAAGTCATTTATCTGGTACCTTCGGTGGGGGAAGTCTTGAGTCTCCTGCAGAGCCCGTTGACATCTGTGTAGGTCTCCTGGACTTTCTGGAGCGCTTCAGCCCCACGCAGCTCCATAAGGGAGCGTAGCTCCGACAGGGTGCAGCCAAAACCACCTGCATGGTTCATTTCTCGCCGCTGGTTTTTGGGATAGAAATCCACAGAGCTGTTGGCCATGTCTCCCATGTTGGACGTGAGCCGCAGCCCAGCTGGGTACACTGGGCAGAGGTGTGGGGGATGAAGAGTAGACTTGAGCTAGGTTAGTCTGGTAGACAGAATGAAAAACCTGTGTGGAGGGGAACGGAGAAAGGCAGACATTGGCCAGAAAGAAAATATCATCTCTGCAAAGAATGTCCATCCCCTGGTTGCAAATTCTTCTCCCTTACCTGCTCAGTCCTGGCTGTCTCCTGGATTCATTCTATAGAGCCTCAGGGGTGGGGCCACAAGGTTTTCTAGAGGCCAGCCAGCCAGGGGGCCAAGCCATGGAAGAAGCAGAGATGAAGGCCTTCTTAGAGCTTGGCACAAAGGGTGTTCCTGCTGCCCAAAGGACACCTGTTAGAAAAGCAATAGTTGTAGTCAAGGTCCTGCCACTCATTCATATCAACAAAGCCTGAAGCTCTCAGGTCAACCAATGTCTGCAGTGGCACATAGAAATAAGTCAGGAATGTATACCTTCCATCAGCATGACGGCTACACTAGTCTTAAGGGCTAATTCCCCCAAATAGGCTTGGCCAGGGCATATATGTCTCTCTCTGTGTGAGGAGTTTATAGAAGTGTAATAGGTGCCTTTAGGTATCTCTAAGACTTTATGTTCCTTTTCTTTTCCTAAATGTTTTTTTGGGGAATCCAGAGATCTGCAAAAAAGAGTGTTGGTGGCCCATGGGTTTTGCACCCTTCCGCTAAGCCCCATGTGTTATATTTAATTTTAAGTCAACTTGTTGTATGAACTCAAACATTAATGTTTGCCAATCAAAATTTTATGGCTTAACTCAATCAATGTGCCTCAGTCAAGAACTACGATTAAAACATAGCACGGTGTAGTATGATCTGCAATTTAAAATACGTTGCTGTCTCTCCAGCTTCCTTAACCTTTCCTGGTTAATCATATTTAATTTGTTGATATTCTTTAAAATGCTATTTTCCCAGGAAGAGCCTGCAGATCCCAAGGGTCTGAATACATGTTGATATATTGTAAAAGACATCAAGATAAAAAAAAAAAAAAAAAGCAAGGTCATTATTTAACTACAAGCAGGGTTTGGAATCAAGGGATTAAATATAAACTACTTTGCATATTATCCAAACCTTCCATTGTCTTTTTAAATATATTGATAAAAGTGGGTTACAAATTTACCAGATTAATAAATCAAAGCTTCAAGCATTTGAATCAAGCAATAAAAAGAAATTCCTCAATATTCTTTGTAACATACCATTTAAAAGATATAAGAATGTAATACGTAACACTCCCATACACACGCGCACACACACATATGCATAAACAAACAAACAAACAAATTATCCCACATCAGGGTTTTATTATAGAGCAAAACTGATAAACTGGTAACAGGAATTTTCTTACATTCAGTTAAAAGAAGGGGAATAAGTGCTTATTTCTAGATCTGACTGGTAAATATGCATAATGTTTGGAGCAAAAAATAGGATATCTGCAGAATTCAGGCTGTAATGTCAATTAATCTCCGACTAAGGAAACAGGTAACATGTTTGAATATGAAAGACAAACAAAGCCTACAGTATTCATATAAATCTGTGAGTTTCAGCCGAAAAAGAAAGTAAGAGTCCTAATTTTTAAGGAACCAGCATGAAATTGGTAAATTTACCTCAGGGCTCTATAGTGCTTCATATTCTAATTTTAAAAAGTGCTTTGGAACATGGAGATGTTTAATTTTTTCAAATTCCTTAAAACAGCTGTGTCTTTTCCAGTGGTTTCATGGCTGCCCTCCACTTGACTTTTAGAAACAAATTTGAAGTGTTCCTCAGTCCTAATTATATAAGTATGTGTGAGTACGTTTCCCAAGTGCTCTAAATCCAACACAAAGACATGACATCTCTCAGTGAGTAGTGGATTTAAACCTGGATCAGGAACCAACCGAATCAGCCAATGCTGTGAATAAATCTTCATATGTGGAGATAAGGGTATCATAGAGGCTGAGTTGGTAGGTATAATATAAGAATATATAGGTTTTAAGGTGTATGGTGATCATACTAAATGATTTATAAGTAGTAAATGTAATTAATGCTAACATATCAAGATTCAACAAGTAACCCTATAATTATGGCTTCTAAATACCTCAAAGTTCAAGTATTTCCAAAACTCAACTCAATTCTGCTCTGTTTATTAATTGCCTTTATGCAATTCATTCCAAATATATAATCTGCAACATTTTGAGACTATGGTCAGAAAGAGGGAATGGAATATTTGAGCAATCAAATGTTTGACTTCCAGTGCTGTCTTCTTGTCTTCAAAAAGAGACAATTGCATCTAAACACAAAACACCTAATGTAAATAAGGTATCTGTGTCTCATTGTCTCCTGCTTATCCCTTGAGGGTGAACATTTTCTTCATAGGATTTCAGAGAAACAAGACTTTGGCCCAGTGTGGCTGCTGCTATTGAGGAATGAAACACCAATTTTCAAGTCCTTCCATCCTTCCTCCCATACAAACTATTATTTTTTTTCTTCCTCCCAAATCAACAGAATAAGCACTGTACCCAGTATAATAGCATGGAGATAGTGATTCCCAACTATTTCCTTTATGTAAATTGCTTTACGTGTATGTGACTTCTTGATGGTGCCCATGGAACTTCAAAATTAAATGTATTTTTAAAATTAAAATGATCAATATTTTGCAAGATATCCAACTTTCAGGAGAAAGTTATTCAGCTATCTGAAATATTGTGAAATTTCAAGTGAGGATGCTAATTTCTTGCAAAAAATTAAATGAAAATGCCAATAGTTTACAAGATTTCAACCAAAAACACTGGCTGAACCAAAAACATCTTTTAAATTTTGGTAGCAGTTGGGAAAGTGTAGTGGTATTGAAACCCAGGACCACCTGCAGTATCTTCAAGGACCACCAGTGGTCCTCCAAGCACAGGCAGAAAACATAGATTGTACTGTACAGCAAGTTATTGACAAGGCAAAGGAGCTGTCCAGGGTTCTGAAAAAGACTTTTCAGCCAATTTTCTGTTTACTATTGATTCCAAGACATTCAGACAAGTGGCTAATATAGTATCCATGCTCACATTTCCCCCATGATTTATTATCTATTCTGCATCCATAATTTATATGTGTAATATTATATCATAGTCCAGTAGAAAATTCCCTTAGTTATTCCTGAAGTTGCTTTGAAATCTACTGTAAGGTATTTTGTGTTAATACCATATCTCTATATTGCACTGTTCATATTTATTTTAAGAGGGATGGTTTAGAAAAAGTTTAGAGGATACAGGTTTGTAAATAGACTCCTCTCTCATATTGAATTTGCTTGTACTGTTCAGTAATCCTGTCAGTGAAAAAAAGACACCAGCCATTCCCTTATATGTCCAAAAGAGACTGATTTTGTAGTCCAATGTGCAATTTATTATTTGCTTTTAGAAGTGGGCCAATCAGTAATGTTTTTGATTTTATCAATTGTATAAACTGGGTTTCATTTGTCAATTCTAGTATTTTAAAGGTTTAGAGTTGTTTTGGCTCTATAGCTCTGGCTCATTGTGGCATCATAGAGTTATTTCATTTCAACAAGGAGAATTTCTGACTTCGCAAACTATCTAATTGCTCTCTGTGTATTCATTTATAGTTCTAAAACGACTGATAATTAAGATGATCCTTAGTAGTAAAGTAGTTTATTACTTTGTGGTTTACTGTGCTGTGTGAATGCAGCAAAATTGTAGTTTTAAAAATATTTCTAAAAACTTGTGTCGAGTGAAACAGGAAGTTCCGTCCAAAATAGATGCTTCTCTGCCAACTTAATTTTCTTATCCACTGGAAGTAGCCTGGAATGCCAAACCACCATGCAGGGGCTATGCAATTATGCAGCTAATTAAGTCATCCCCCCAAAAAAGAGTTTGAAACCACCAAGGCATCATACAATTCTCTTTAGAACTCAAGGGACTCACAGGAAGCCCTAATTAGTATGATCAAATCCATGGGTAATCTAAATTGGATCCAAACCATAAGCCAGAGAAATACAACACATATTTGATCCATCCCTCCCAATGCATGAAGAAGTTCCTTTGCCTTACTTATATACTTAAGTTGCCATAAGGAAACAAGAGGAGTGTGAATCTGTGTATGCATTATGCATCTGCATAACACAGTCACTAAAATGAGGCCACCTCAATGGAACTTGGATTATTGGTCTCATTACATAACTAGATGAATGTACAAAGGAACCGAATAAATTGATTCCAAAGCTATGCCTAAAGAGTGAGACACAGATATACTAAGATTACAATTCCCAGAATTCCCAGTAAAATGTAGGAGAGGCTAGGTTAAGATTAGATTATCTTATCCCAAAAATGATTGTCATGATCATTTGGCAGAAATCCCCCCCTCTAACTTTCTTCAAGCAATATGGGAACAGGGATACAAATATATTGATTAGAATAATTCAAATCAATTTCCTATCCCTACTTTAGCCCAACTAGAAGTCAACTTTACATGTATCCTGAAAGTCTTTATTCCCCAAATAATGAAACAAATCCACTCTCTCTAAATATGGTAGAAGGAAAGCTATTGGTTTCCTGTCAGCTAACTTGGAACTTTTGCTGAGAGTCAGATATAAATATTTAAAAACAGGCAACAATGTAATTCCATACATGCCTATTAGAGTCAGTTCCCTCAGAGTGTGAGGGGATCTTGTTTTTAAATATTTAGGAAGCACAAAATAACCTACCTGAAATAACATGTCACAAAATACATGTGCAAGATTTTTTTCCTTGTTGACTGCTAATTTTTACAGATCTACATATGTGCATATGCACAAACACACATTTAACATATACACACATATATTGTCACACACAGCCACACACAAGTGTGACTAACAGAGGCAATGAGAGTGAGGAGTTTTAGTATCTTTTCACTGGAACTGAAATCTCTTGCAATCTCTTACAAGGACAAGTGTAAAATCATTCATCCCTTTGCATCACTTTAACAAAGCCATCATTTAAAGGGGGCATTCCTAAATATTATAGTTACTAAGAATTCACATCAACAGTTACATTTTTGCTCTAGAAAATCAACAATATTAATACACAATTTGCATAGTTGATAATTATTGTGATGGGAAATGCAACTGTGGGAGGAAAGAGAAATAAGGCAGTCTATAAGTACCTTTTTATTAGTTTATAATATAAAATTTAAAAAATCCTTTTGGTATAGTAGAATAAGACAATAGCATCAAACCTCAACTTTTTACTTTTACATAGTAATATAAACTAGCCATTTCTATAACAACAAACCTATTAATTGGTAAAAGCCAAAATCAAAGTTTCATTTTTTTCCACCTCAAGCACAAAGTCCAGAAGTGGTTT